AGGATCCACAACTTTCAGCCCATTCAGTTCTTTGAGCAAGAACTGGCTAACTGAATGCTGCCATGAACCCTGCTCATTAACTATCGTTCGCAAAGGAACTCCAGGCTTGTGCGTCTTTGCAGTGAAGAAAACTTTGAGTGCATTACCTTTGCTTGTGCTAATATCTCTTGCCAACCGAACGAGTTCAAAGTCCTTGCACATGTTAACTGCTTTAGTTTTAACACGAACAGTACTGCTTTTAACAGAAACAAAGTTCTTAGAAATTGCCTTCATAGCCTTCTCAGCATACGAACCAGATCCTAGAACAACAAAACCGCCCTCTTTATCCGCTTGAAGAAGGCAAAGATCATTTTCTCTGAAATACTTCACCACCTGTTCTGTGGGATCCCGCCGCTGATGGCAGTTTGCCTTATGCACAGTCCTTGACAATGCGTCGACGCCCTCAAGCAAACAACGCACATACTGATCTTGAGGTGCTCTGGTTGCAACACGTCTGTTAAAAGCAAGCAATTCTTGAGGCGGCACAACTGGTTCATAGCTAAACTTGGGACCCTTCTTGAGGATGCGTTCCACGTGTTCCGGGATTTCCACATCATCTCCTAAGACGAGAACAGGTGACTCACCTCTTCGTTTGTCGGCTTTCTTTCGGATAACGTGAAGCACACTACTCAGGTAGGAGGCCCACCAAAACTCAACCATGCGAGCAGTGTACGCCCTCAGGGAACGCAACTCCACTTCTGCCTTCCAGGGCGGGTCACTAGCATAGCATAAGACACGCAGATAATCCTGGAGAAGCCGAGTTTGCCTCCAAAGTTCAGAGCGGATAAGACGACACACGCGATTGGCATGACCTGGCGTCGGTAACGCAAAACCGAACAGCCCCAAAACTTCTGCCGGTACCAGGCCTTTCCTTAAACAGAACGAAAGATATCTTGAACGGCAGGTAGTTGTGACAATGTGGCTCACCAAGAGATTGAAGGTTGACGACGAAGGAACGGACGAAACATTGAAGAAAGGGCCCGTTGTAGTAGAAATGTGGTTCAATAAAACTTGTAGCTGGGCGAGTTGGTTCATAATACTGGGTAAACTGGTGTGCGCACAAAAAAACAGACAAACGACAGCAGAGAAGAGACAGGGACAAGCGCAGACTTTCAACTAAATTTAATTCTTCGTCAACCTTCAATTTACAGTCGCACAGAACATAGTCAAGTGGTCACGAGGACAGAACCTAATAGTTTACAACAGGCCACGCAAAAAATGACGCTCACTATCAAAAAGCGAAATGGATGTATCACTAACACAGGTATTGCCTCTAGCAGAAATATAAAACGCTTCCATCAGTTCCCGGGCTGTGGTATCAGCACTCCGACCCAAATCCTAATCTCCGAGAAAATCGGTGAGCACGTGCAAGCTTTGCAATGCGCGGGCAAATGCGTGATCCCGTTATTTTTAAGTGACAGCTCATGTTCCCTTGCACGGTCGTTCACGCAACGCCCCGTATGACCCACGTAAAATTTCCCACAAGACAGCGGTATTTCGTAGACAACGCCCGTCGCACATTTCACATACACAAACGCGTGCTTCTTTCCGCAACCACCGGATCTCTTCTCGCCAGGGAAGATTCTGGGACAAAGTCCAGCCAACTTACGTGGGGCGGAGAACACGATCGGCACACCGTGTCTACTCGCTATCTTTTTGAGGTTGTGGGAAATGCGATGCATATAAGGCATCACCTCCGGACGCCACCTGCGACGCAGGCCAGGGTTCCCGCTGGAACGGACTGCTTTGGCATCACGCAGACGCACTTCAGCGACTGCCGAGACTACCGTGCAAGGATACCCAGCGGCAATTAAACGCAAAAGGTGGCGTCCGGAGGTGATGCCTTATATGCATCGCATTTCCCACAACCTCAAAAAGATAGCGAGTAGACACGGTGTGCCGATCGTGTTCTCCGCCCCACGTAAGTTGGCTGGACTTTGTCCCAGAATCTTCCCTGGCGAGAAGAGATCCGGTGGTTGCGGAAAGAAGCACGCGTTTGTGTATGTGAAATGTGCGACGGGCGTTGTCTACGAAATACCGCTGTCTTGTGGGAAATTTTACGTGGGTCATACGGGGCGTTGCGTGAACGACCGTGCAAGGGAACATGAGCTGTCACTTAAAAATAACGGGATCACGCATTTGCCCGCGCATTGCAAAGCTTGCACGTGCTCACCGATTTTCTCGGAGATTAGGATTTTGGGTCGGAGTGCTGATACCACAGCCCGGGAACTGATGGAAGCGTTTTATATTTCTGCTAGAGGCAATACCTGTGTTAGTGATACATCCATTTCGCTTTTTGATAGTGAGCGTCATTTTTTGCGTGGCCTGTTGTAAACTATTAGGTTCTGTCCTCGTGACCACTTGACTATGTTCTGTGCGACTGTAAATTGAAGGTTGACGAAGAATTAAATTTAGTTGAAAGTCTGCGCTTGTCCCTGTCTCTTCTCTGCTGTCGTTTGTCTGTTTTTTTGTGCGCACACCAGTTTACCCAGTATTATGAACCAACTCGCCCAGCTACAAGTTTTATTGAACCACGATATGATCATGAGGGATGTCGTAATTGAGGTCTCCGAAAATTTTGACCATGTGGCGTTCTTGAACTTGCACTCACATTATGCAGTTCGCCGGCATCTATATTTTCGCCTCTATCTAAATGCGACCGCCGCAGCCGGAATAGAACCCCCGACATTCGGGTAAGCAGCGGAGCACCCTAGCATCTGGTCTACCAAGGTGGACGCGAAACCAGGGCCGATCAGTGTATAGCATTTGGTGGCCAAAAATAAAAATGACAAGCTGACATTCCGTTTGCACGTTTTATTATTTTTCTGGGCTTTCATCCATTGTACTCATTTTGAAAGGACAGCACAAAGACGCTGGGAAAAGAAAGACATAGAGAAAAAGAGCACTGTCTTTCTTTAATTTTTTTCTTTGCGCTTCCCTATCAAAATGATATGCCACAGCTAGCCCCAACCAAAGTACTCCTCATTCATGCTACACAACAGAGCACACAAACTACACACGCCAACTAGAATAATTTATGTGCAACGCTCTTAATGAAGTACTGTTTAAAATGCACAATATAATCTGGAGACAGGACATTTATTGTGTCTTTTTACAGCGAAAGTTGTTATGAGATCACAACTCGGGTCACGCGCCACCCCGTAGTTGTCCGCCGCCGCCACTGCCTCCACCGGTGTTCGTTACCACATTGCACGAAATTAGAAAAAAAAAACCTAGCGTTAATGGCACAGTGGGGCTCGAACCCGGGTGTGCTAGGTGCTATCTCAGTATTCTACGACTGAGCAACGCTGGTGCTTGGGAATTGTTGGCAAGCCTGCCCAAGGCAGGCTTAATGTCAGAAAAGCAATCGCGTTAATACTACTTAAAAAGCGCTTTAAAACCGCGAAACACGAAAGAACAACCAGTTGTCGCACAATGTGAATAGCGTAACAAGTGAGTCGTCCAATGCTACTAGGCATTACAAAAACTTGTTCTTGTTCACCCATTAACTGTGCCACATACCCACTACAGGCATAAATGGGCATCGTTGACAGCCAGTGCATGAGCCATTGACACAAAATTCTTGCAAGTGTTTAGTGGATATACCAAATTTCTCAGGATAATCACGAAAAATAGCATAGTGAATGCCGGCCTACTACCAAAAAAATTTCATTAATAATGCTGTAGTGGTATCAAGGAAATGTGCTTGCAAAAGTTATCCACTGAGTGTTTATAAAAGGCTCTGAAAGGCCACTTCTCTAACTTTCTCTGTGACTGTGCTGGGCCTTACGCGCAGGCCTGGCATTTTTTTTTTAATATAGCCAGCGTTTAACCAAGATCTGATAAAGAGTGTATAGTGAGCGACGTCTGAGCGTGAATGTCAACGTAAAAGAGCGACGTAAAAGCAGGACCATTCCTTGCTGTACGTCACTCCCTCCATCTTGGGGCGCCGCCCGTGAAAAGGGCAAGTGGCATTCAGTAGAATTTTAGCATGGTTCCGCAACATGTAACTTTCCAAATCTTAACAGGCACGATCCTGAGTGCCAAGTGCATCTATTAAGCTTGTCAGCTTGAAATGCCCGAACCTAGTGAGAGGCCCTCTAAGGTGTTCATGGACAGGGGAGAAATTATGCGATTAGACCTGGCACCCTCCTTTCTGGGGTATCAGTGGTCTGGTTGTTTGCTGCTGTGCTGCCCTTCTTAGCCACAATGAAATGAAAGAGACCCAGGAGCGTGGTGATTGGACAGTGGGCACTTGACTCACAATGACGGGCAATAAAACGAAAGTCCGTAATCTGTAAATCGCATGGAAAATGCATGCCTATGTTCGACCGTTGGTGCCTTTGTGCTACCTTAAACATTAACATGTGTTTTTGCTTCTTGTTGTAGATACAAGTCACCGACGTCTTTGTTTTAAAATATTTTAATTTTTGTAGAAATTTATATTGCCTATATTTATGATTTTGATGGCTTAGAACGGTGTTTTACCTGCCTGTCCTTGGAACCTAAAAAACCCTTTTTAGTGCCTAAAAATCTGGCCTCTACTCATGACATACCACTGGCAATGCTCTGTCATTATGCAATGTGCTTGTGTAAGTCTTAAATGTGCGGTTTTTCAGCAGTGACTTGAGCACAACCAGCAACAATGCGTATGTGCCATTCTCGCACATCTATATCTTTACTTACTGGATATATTACTGCCCATGTGTCCTTGCAGCGAGATATCAATGGGCAGCTTTTGATAGGATGTTGAATCCACCTCGTCTGTGTTTCTCGTGGACAGATCTCATTATAATTTTGTTTTGTCTGCGTGTGTGCCCTTAGTGAAAATTATGTATGATTTTGCAGTTGTGTCTAATGGGGTGTCTCGGTAGTAGTGAGTAAGATGCTACTTGAGCAGGGAATGAAAGCATGAGACTGTGAATTGTGCCTCTGAGTGATGACTCGTGATGGATGTGCAGATCCAACGGGCTGTGTGCGGGACATGATGATCACGGAGGCCTTCGTTCGTCTGTTTGTTGAGCTGGTAGGACATTGTGACCAGCACATCATCATGTCGGATGATCTCAAGGAATCCACCTTTCAAGTAAGGTTTTGCGACACCTTCAATATATAGGTTCTCGTGTTTCAATATAAAAGTCATTTTGTAGTTATGTGGAAAAGGCATTGATGTGTAGGGCTGGAGTGCGGCGAAGCCCGTGGCAGGCTGACAGAGGTGTCTAGGGACCGGCGAGTGACGACATGGAGACGAACTTTGCTGTGGCTGATGAGAGAATGCTCTCCCACGTTTATCGTGGCTTTTTAAGGATTTGGAATAAGGTGATTGTTCAGTGATACACTGGTCACATGAACGGCATCTGCATACAGGGTTAGTTGCCGAGAACGGTCCTGATGAAGGCTCAGCTCCACCTTAGAGCATTTACAGGAAACTCTACCACACCGGTGCATGAACTCGAAACAGGCATTGCACGACAGAATGTTGTTTCCCCCTGGGAAAATAGCGTCCTTATACAATATTGTCACGATCTGTCCCGAAGACCGTGCATGAGAGGGAGCGCCGAGGTGCCGCTGTCTTACAAGGACGACCCCACATGCATGGTGGAAAAATGGCTTCTGACTGCCGAGCAGTGCTCGTCAGTGTTTGTTATTCAAGTACATCCAAGGTTGCCTGCTGAACTTTGCGAGGTAATGAAACTAGGCTACGCACGGCATCACATGCTCATTACACCCCTCACCCACAGTTATTGTACACAAAATAAAAAATGCAACTTCAGTCGGTTCGACGTTGGTTTAGGTAGGCGAAAAGCGGCCTGCTGCCCTTCGCCGTCGATTGCTCCACCTGAGTACAGGTGTTGAGGGACTAGGTACGGTAGCACTGAGTGCTGCCTGAGCCGCTCTTGATTCCTCCGGAGACTCTGCCAGAGTTGGCAGAGATGGCACTGAACTTGGTGGTGACCCAACTAGTGGTGCACAACTGGAGGCGCCTGTTTCTTGTGAAATGGTTGTCTCACTGGCCGCAACTGGTACTGCCATGGATGCAAGCCCGGTCCCACAATGAGCCCTCACATGGTCAGCATGTCGGTGCCATGCGGTTCCATCCTGCATTCGTACGAGCAGAGAGGAAGAGCTTGCTGGCTAGACCACTTGTCCAGCAGACCAACGTGGACCAGAATGGAAATTCCTGGCGAATCCTGGCATTCCAGGCTTGGGCAAGGGCCCAGGACGGCATCCTTTGTCAGCAGCCAGCTTCTGTTTCAGCTGTTTGAGGAGCACTGTGGACCGAAGGTCTGGGTGTGAAATATCGAACAGTGTCTTCACCATCCGTCCCAGCAAAAGCTCACAGGGCACATGGCCTGTGACATCATGAGGTGTAGTCCGATATTGGAAGAGTATGCTGGCGACCTGCATAAAGAAATTTCCAACCTGTCTCTTCTTATGTTTGTCCTTAATAGTCTGCACCACCCACTCAGCTGCACCGTTCAAAGCAGGGTGGTACCCTGGAACCCCAAAGTAGGGTATCACCACCCTGGAATCCCAAAGTAGGCAGCCTTACTCCAGGCTCAGCTCAGTGGCCTTGTGAGTGTAGGGGTGCTGCACCAACTCCTCCCCTCAGAATACTGCCTTCACCACCTGGGACATGACCGGGTCCCGACTGGTCACCTGCAACACAGCAGACCTAGAAATTACCTCTGGGTACGCATGTTCCAGCATGAGCACTTCAGCTGGCTCTGGAACAGGAGCAGGCACCTCTGGCAGCGGCAACCGACTTAGGCCATCAGCAGGCCCCAGGTCTTTTCCTGAATGGTACACCAACTGGTAGCTGTAGGCCGCTAGCTTCAAGGACTATCGTACCACTCGAGGTGATGCCTGCACAGGGACCACCTTGTCTGGCCCCAGCAGTGGTTTATGGTCTGTGACTGCCTCAAACTTTTGGCCGCACAGGTACTGGTGAAAACGCTCGATGCCAAACATGAGGGCGAGGCCTTCCTTGTCCAGCTGGCTGTAATGCTGCTCGGCTATGTGAAGACAACGAGATGCAAACGACACCGGCATTCTTGGCCATCCTTGTCTGTGTGCGCTAGGACGGCTCCTGCACCTTATGGTGATGCATCTACAGTAAGGACCACAGGTTTGGCTGGATCGAAGTGCACCAGCACTGGTGCTTTGGTGATTAGCTGTTTACTGTGCTCAAAGGTGTGAGGATGCTGATACCTCCTGTAAAGCTGTTTGCGCCGCGTGGTGCACTTGTCTCGCCCAAAAGCTTCATTTCGGTTACAACCACGGGGCGGAAGGTGGCGTTGTGTTCGCGAGAGTTGACCACCACTATTGTCATCACCATTATGAGATAGTGCATGCAGTGACCCCTGGCGGAAGCAAGCCTTGGTGGCGGGCGAGACTTGAGCGAGTTTCTTCTGCGCATGGTGGTTGCTGCGATCGGTTGTCTGTAGCGTGGGTCCTCGGCGCGTGGAACCGTGGCCTGCGCGCCGGAGGGCCCACGTGAAAAGTCAAGCATTGGCGACGCTTTCTTGGGTATGTTATTGTGTGTTTGTCATGTTATCGCGTTTGTCATGTTTTGGAGTGTGTGGAAATTGTGTGTAAGGATGTCTTAGTGGGTTGATCACGATTGATGTATCATTCGCTAGACAATATTGTAGCTCAAAAGTAGTTAAATAAATGTATGTGTTTGGTTTGTACTCACCGTGTACACTTTGTCCGTTCACTCCAAGAGCATGGCGAGATGCTCGCCTCGTCGAGACCCTACAAAGGCCACGTCCTCCTCCTTTCTCCATGCCCAACGCTGGCCATCTCGAAGCAGAATGTGCAGTGGCTGCAGGTGTGCAGACAGGTTGGGTAGGAACCTCCTGTAGAAACGGATGAGACCAAGGTAGCTTTGCAGCTCTTTCTTGTTTCGGGGCTTCAGCGCCTTCAGAACAGCCTCAACTTTGTGAGTAGTCAGGCCGGCCTGGGAGATGACCTGTCTCCGGTATTCCACACTAGGAACCATGAATATGCACTTTTCCCGAAACCAGCCTCTGGAAGTCGGGCCAGAACGTTGTGCAGATTTTGCATGTGGTCTCCGTCGTCAATACCGGTGACAAGGATATCGTTCGAGTACACTGCCACATGCCTCATGCCCCTGAAGAGGTTGTCCATCTCTCTCTGAAAGATGGCTGGTGCTGAGGCCACGCAGAAGGGTAAACGCGTATACTTGAAAAGCCCCATAGTTGTCGATATCTTGGCGTACTTCCGTGAGGCCTCCTGGAGCATCAACTGCTGGTACGCGTCTCTAAGGTCGAGCTTCGTCAATTTCTGGCCACCAGACAAAGCCGATCATAGATCTTCAATACGAGGCAGGGGGTACTTTTCGATGGTAGCGACGGGGTTGATCATAACCTTGAAATTCCCACAGATTATGACACTGCCGTCTGGTTTAGAAACTGGAACGATGGGAGCATCCCACTCTGCAGTCTTGACTGGTACCAAGATGCCTTCTCGCTGTAACTGCTGTAGCTCCTGGGTGACACCGTCCTTAAGAGCGAACGACGGCAGCGGGGGAGGCTTGAAAAACCGAGGCTGGACTCCCTCAGGTACATGGATGCCAGCAGTCATACCGGTGAATTTGCCCACCCCTGGCTTCAACAGTAATTGAAACACTTAGGAAGCTCGGGATGTCTTGTACGCCATGTAGGGCTGCTTCCTGGACGTGCCCTTCTAGCAGCTGAATACCCAGTGCGCAAATCCAATTCCTGCGAAGCAGAGTCGGTGACGACCCTATGGTCAAATAGAGAGGCAGGGTTGCTCCCCTGTTGCCAAAACGATTGCTGACCTGGGCCTGGCTTTGGACCTCAGAAAGCTCTGCCGAGTAACTCCGCAGCATGATGCCTGAACTCTTGATGGCCGCTCCGGGGAAGATCGTTTTGAAAAGTTTGCCAGCCATGACCGACAAACTGACCCCCGGTGTTCAGTTCTATCCAAATGAGGCGCCCGCAAACTTCGATGGTGTTAGTACGTACGATTGCACAAACAACCAGACAAAGCCTGTGTGCCACATGTCGAAAATATGTGGGTTCTCGATCACGACGTTGAGCCTGACTGCGGAAGAACCCGAGCCTACTGCTGCACTTCCTTGACACCACTGCGACACCTACCTCACGGCAGGCTCGTGTGGAACCTGGGCTTGATCCAGGTTGCTGCTGTGGTCCTCTGTTCTGCTTCCCCGTTCGGCATACTCATGCAAGGTGCGCCGTTTTTTCACACGAGACGCACTGCGAATATACGAACTGGCAGTGTGAGGGAAAGTCGGCGTCACCGCAGCGACTGCATCTACACGCCCTTGCCACCATCTTGTTGGCCACTGCTTCTGATGACGCTGCACGCGCACTCTACCACTGCTTCTGTTTTGACGCCGCACGCACAATCCCACCGGCATCTTTTCTTGCAGCGTCCATCGCCAGCGCTGCTTTCATGACGTCGTCCAGTGAGGGGTCTGGAAGTTCTAGGACACATGTCTGCATGGTGGGGTTGTTTATGCCGCAGACGAAACAGTCCCGTAGCAACGAGTCCAGCTGGTCCCCGAAAGCGCAGGTACTCGCCAAACTTTGTAGCGCAGCGATGAACCGCTCGAGGCTCTCCCCTTCTCAGCGGTTCCGTTTTTTGAAGCGGAAACGCCTCTATTAGCGTGGATGACGCTGAACTGAAGTATGAGCGCAGTATAGTGAGCAACTCGCTGAGCGTCTTGGTATGCGGTTTAGCCAGTTTTAGGAGGTGGAGCAAGAAATTGAAGACTTGGGCTCCGCAACTTGCCAGGAAAATGTCCTGTTGTTTCTCCTCGGGCGTGTCATCGCAGAAAAACACGTGAACTTGCACCTCATAGATGGGCCATGCGGACCCGTCTCCCTCGAAGGCTCAAGCCTTTCGTACAGCGGCAAGGCATCAGATGCAGTTGTTTTGCCGCTCTTGGTGACGTGGGTTAAATCGTTGACTGAACTCGTTGCCAGTGTCACGGTCTGCCCCGAAGACTGTGGACAAAAGGGAGGGCCGAAGTGCCGCTCTCTAACAAGAATGACCCCATATGCATGGTGGAGT